TTATTAAAAACTAATTCTTAGGTGTTCTGATGTGTGATTGATTGTGGATGCCAAGTGCTGAACTGGGAGCATGTCCTACAGAAGTGTAGCTTGGCATTAGAAAGACAGGACACTCCACCCACCCAGTTCCAAAGCTTGGCCACATGTGTACCTGTTGGCACTTCTGCAGGGCTGTGAGAATAGCCCGAAACGCTGGAAAGAGGGTGGGAGACACGTGGACCTGAGCGGTCCCAGCAGACCACTCCAGCACCCAGCTGAGCCGGCCAGTTGAACCCAACCGTGATGAGCCCGGAGAGGTGAATGCTGGTTTCTGTACGCTGCTAAGATTTTGTGACTGTTTGTTGTTTGCTGGCTCCACATGGAGCCAAATAACAATGAATTTTTAAATTAGGAATTTTAATTTTGTGTCTCTACACTGCCTCACTCCTCACCAGAGCAGCGTGCTCTTCAGGGCACGGGCCTTGGACCCAGCGGCATGGGCAAGGAGTGAGCGCGTGTGGGTGCACGCACCACCAGAGCGACGTGCAGACTGGTTTCTCCCGGGGCTCGGCGGGTGCCTGGGCGCGAGTGAGTGATGGGTCCTCACCATGTGTCGTAACCGCACCGACGTGAACAAGACAGCAAGGGAGAGGGAACTGCACAAGTCAGGGAAGCGGTCCTTCACATTTACGAGTCTCCGCGGTTGGGAGCTGCTCCCCGTTCTGCATTCAGGCGTCGCGGGGAGAGGTCACTTCACTAGCTAAGCGATCAAGACAGAGCCGTGTTAGTTCTCTAGCGAAGCTCTTAGATGGGCCGTGAAGGTTCTCATTTCCTTCTCGGCCCTTCTTGTTCTGGGAGCATCTTTATGGTTTCAGCGCAGTGTAAGCGATGATAGAGATTAATGTCTTCTTCCAAAGAATATTGTAGAGTAAAAGTGGGCTGCTTTCTGAGAGGGGTCCTCAGCTCCCTGAAAGCGGCAGGCTGTGTCTCCTCCACTTCGCAACCGTGCTCTCCTGATTCCCTCCCGTTATGGGGAAACGCTGGGCGTCACCACTGTTGGAATTCTGCACGGGCCGCGGATTCCGCCTCAGTCGGCTTCAGACTCCGAGGACTCTGGGCAGCTGAACGGGAGTGGCCTGAGTTGGCAAAACCTTTCGTCAGCTTCCATGTCTTAGCAAAATTAGCAAAGGACATGTTCTCACGTCCTCTCTGAAAATCTTCTAACTCCTGTGGGCCAGACTGACCTAGAAAGTCTGTGAATTGTTAACGGATATCTCAGCGTCACGGAACTCACCGCGTGCTCGGGGCTGCGCTCCTGTGTTCATCTCCTTTTTTTTTGTTTGTTTGTGAGATCCTTGAGTGGGTACCAGGATTTTCTCCATCTTGTCTGGCCTGGGACTCAATAAATATTTGCTTAAATATTTATTAATTATCCAAGGCACATATCCTATTTCCCTACTTTAACTTTGTTTAGATATTATTGTAAGTTAATTATTCTTTCACGCTCAAGAACAATTTTTCAGTAATTCCTGGGTAAATTCTTTGGTGAAGCAAAACGAGGAAATGACTTTCAGGGGAAAAAATTAATGGTCCATTTCTCCTGGACTCTGCCGCTTGTAAAAGCAAATTGAGAACCTGGAAGCATCTTGCTACCTCAGGAAGACGCAGCACCTACTCTACAGTTTAGAAAGTTTTGACAAAATTGCGAAGATAGTCTCTTCTCGAGCACGAGGAAGAGACATGCAATTACTGTGATGGTCATTAATTTTCTGTTCGTGGTCCAGCCAGTTACACTGTCATGTAATCCTGCAGGCTGCTGTTTCTTGCCCGGGAAAGCCTGGATCCTGACAGTTTTTTTGAAAGGCAGACAAATTATTCCCCAGATCAGCTAATGGGGGCAGAACATATTTGACAAGCAGCCACCTGGTGGGATCAGAGACTCCAAGCGTGTTTTCAAGTTAAACCTTAAACCCTCTCTCAGCTGGGACGCTCCCTCCTGCTCAGAGCAGTCTGGCCACCGCCACCGCCACCGCCACCGCCACCAGCGGCCCCCCGACTTACGTGAACTGAGCTTTCTAATTACCGAGGCAGCCAGCCTTCCAGCTTGCTGCCCAGACAGAGCGCTCGCTTTAGAGCCCTCAGTGGTCACCGCTGGCGGCCAGGAGTGGACCCGCACGTCTGCCAAGCCCACTGCCTGAAGCGGCGCTGCCTTCTGCCTCACGAGACGCCGTGCGTTCCTCTTCTGGACGATGGCTGCTGAGATGAAACCTTTGAAAACAAATGTGTGTTGTGTGACGACAACGTCACCGAGTGCGTGAAGTAGGATTCCTCTTTCTGTTTCAATCTGTTCGCTGTGCTACTGAAAGTGGTTTTTAAAAAAATTTTTTTTCTCCCCTCAAAGAGAGATGAAACGGCCTTCACTGAGAAAGAGTGACAGTGATGAACTGACGGACCCGTCGCTGCTAGCTCGAAATCATTTCCCTTTCTCTTTCCAAGGAAAATTGAAGAACTGTTTCTACTAGTGAAAATCACATTTCTTTTCCATGAACATCAGTAAGTAGATATTTAGTACTAACTATGATATTCACTTAGCTGAGTTCCAAATAAAGAATTATAAAAAAAAAGATAGAATTGCAAGTGTAAGTAAGCAGTGTTTAAAGACATACTCGAGAGGTATGGTATCTTTAAAAAAAAACTACAAGTTTTTGAAGAATATACACTTTATTTAAAAAATGCCGGAAACTTGACAATGATTACAAGAAGGCTTTCTTGACTTCCGGATCCACCTTGGACCGCCCAGAGCTGCTGAGGTCCACGTCAGCTGCCCCCCGCAGCTCTTCCGCTGTGGCGTGGGTTCCCCGTGCTAGGAAGTCATCGGTGGGACTGGGGCCGGTGCAGCCAGCACGCTGCAGGCTGCTGGAAAGTGACGCGGGCTGAGGCCCGTGGGCAGGACACAGGAAAGGCAGCTGGTTTCTGGTCCACATGCCTGTTTCAGCCAAAAGCATTTGCTGTTCCTCAGAGTGTAGGGATTTGCTCGGCAGGTAGTCGCTCAGCCCCCCTCAGGGACGAGTCTGTACAAAGAACCCAGCGTGGGTCTCTGTTGCGGGAAATGTGGGCGTTTGGTCGGCGCCGGACCTAGATCTGCCTTGGGGCCAGAAGCCAGTGCTTGGACCCGTGAGAAGTCTCCCTCTCTGCCACGTGATCTCCCCCTCCCCGGGCTGGCGTGCCCACGGTGTGGACAGTGACAGGCTGACCACGTCAGTGGGCGGGTCGGCGTGTCTGCTGGGGTCGCCGTCCTCCTCCGCGGTCCCTGCTCCCTGCGGTGTCACTGCCTGCTGTGAAGGGTTCCAGCTCGGGGCCCTGCCCCCGGGTCCTTCCACGTGCCGGCCCTCGCCCCTGCCGTCCGCTCTTTCTTATTCCAGACCCCGCCCACTGTCAGTGTGTGCACATTGCCGCGCTGCGGCTTCTCTTCCCGCAGCAGTGCGACGCCCGGACCTGCGCCCGGGGTGGCGCTGCTCCCGCTGCTCCCTCCGCTCCCTGTCCAGGCGGGAGGAGCGGCGGGAAGGCAGGCTCACAGACTTTCCCTGCCCGGCGCACCGTGACAGCGCTCGCTCCACAGGAAGGTTAGCCCGGGGCAGTACCAGCCGCCAGGGCTGCGGTCACACTGCTCGCCAGCTCGGGACCGGGGAGGCAGCGCGCGCCCCGCCCGTCGGTCCAGGAGCCGCCTGTGAGCCGGGGCCGGGCCGGGGCCGCGCTGCTCATTCCCTGGCTCACCTGCAGCGACTCTGTCGTCTGGGGCCCTCCAGTCCACTGCTGCCATTGGGCCTGAGCCTTCAACGGCACTGCTGACGCAGCCTCGGCCTGGAGAGAAGAGCCCGGAAACCCTCCCTGCAGCTTCTTTCTTCCTTTCATGAGTGCAGCTGCCGCCGGGCCACGCTGGGACGGGGTACGTGGTGCGATGGTCTAATGATGGCCCCCAGAGAGACCCAGGTCCTAATCCCCGGCACCTGGGAACGTTCCCCTGGTGACGAGGACTTGGCAGACGTTGTCAGTGAAGGATCCGGAGCTGGGATGTTATCCTGGAGTCTCCGGGTGGGCCCTGGATTGAACACAGGCGTCCTCACAAGAAGGAGGCAGAGGGGGAGTCTGCTGCAGAGGAGGGCGGTGTGGTGGGAGTTGGCCGTGCTGAGCCGTGGGCTCTGAAGATGCTCAGAGGGAGCAGGAGCCAGGGATGCAGGGTGCTGCCCTGAACTGGGGCGTGGGCTGTGGGTGCTCCTCTAGAGCCTCCCGAGGGACCAGGGCTGGGACGCGTGGCTTCAGCCCAGTGACACTGAACTTGCTTCCTGGCCTTCAGAACCGAATGGTAGTAAGTGTGTGTCGTTTCAGCGCCACGCTCGTCAGCGCCTGTTCCTGCCGCACGGGGGCCGATGGGCGTGCCGCATCTCCGAGCCTCTGGGTCCCTTCCTAACTGGCCGTCTGGCCTTTCCGCTTCTCTTCCTGGGGGCTGCCGGGCACCTGCTGTTGGAAGAGTCTCACGAGCAGTGTGTCAGCATCATCCCTGGGTCCCTCCTGTGGGTGGACGTCTGCGATGGGAGAGTTCTCAGCCTGGTGAACCCCGTCATGGACGGCACCGTCTGCCTCTCCTGACCCCCTCCGGATCCAGCCCCATGCTGGGGGCTGGATCGTGGTGGTCGGGGAGAGGCCTCTGTCTCCTCTTCATCAAAGGGAGAACTGGAGGCCGGGGGATACTAGGGTTCCTGGACCGAAGAGCCCGGGACCCTGGACATGGCCCTGCGCTGGGGACACTGCAGTGCGTGCGGGCAGGACCGAGCCCAAGGTCCACATGGTCTTGCTGTTGTTTTGTTTTGTTTCGTTTGTCATATACAGTAATAAAATCTCCAGCATGAGGGACACCTCCGCTGAAGTTTACTGATTGCATATATAAATAAATGAATATGAGAGAGTATGTGAGCCACTATTTACATAAAGAGACCCTTAAGTGCATATCTGGTCTTCCTCAGAAACTCATCTGCAAGACTTCTGTTGCCCTGAGATCACCTCCGTTCATCACCACGCATTCTGGAATTAAAGTTCCTTTCAGCACGCAGAGGAGCACTTCCAAACGAAGCAAAAGGCATGAGCAACGCAGCGGTGTGCTTTCGGGACATGTTTGCCAAGCACTCAGCTTAAAAACAGTATGTAATTACACAGTGTTTTTATTATCTCACTAAAAATATTGTTCTTTGTAGAGAATCCGGCATTTCCCAATTTCTGAAATTAAAGAACCGGAGGCTGGCTTCAATGTGATAAGAAAAATCCATGTTCCTCAACATCCATCTCTGTGTATAATTACCTGCAAAGCTATAACATGATCACTTTATCATATTTCTTTTCAATGTTCTGCTAAATCTGTAGTGTGTGTGTGTGTGTGTGTGCACACGCGCCCGGGTGTATATAAATATATACTTTTGTTATGATGCTCTGCAATGTAAGCTCTTATAAAACCATCATTATTTGAGAGCTTCATGATAAAAACACACGCATGCTGCCCGTGGACCCTAATTCTCTGCTACGGCTTCTTCTCCACAAGAATTTCAGGTGATTCTCACTGATGCGTGAGAAGTTAATGTTTGTCTTAGGAGAATGTTAGTCTGACTTTGGTGAGTTTGTGCTATAACGCGTTTGAACCTGAAGCTGACTTAGATTTTTCACTATTTACAAAGACAGTTGTAAAGCTACATTGTTATTTAAAGACTTAAGCAATTTTATGTCCGATTGAAATGTTCAGAGCAGTTATTTCTCCTTTCTTAGAAAACTGCAGTACTCAGCAGGCAGACAGGCATTCGGTTCTTTTTCAGGTGGTGAAGTCTGAAGGCACATTAGAGCGGAGATCTGAACAGGATAGAAAACCCCAAAACTAAAAAGGCACCTGTTACGAGATCTGTACATGCACCCTCCTTGTCAAGAACAGGGTGCCCCAGCACTTGAAGTGCCGTCTCCTGCTCCCAACACTAGGTTTTTTTTCCCCTTTGTGGTAGTAAAATCTGTGATGTCTTGTGAATTAAAGTACACATTTCTAAAATATCTGATAGAAGTGGTTTTGAAAATCAGTGTCATGGGCCATCGCTGCTTACTGCCTCAGACTCTCAGGCTAATTTTCTTGTGTGCATTAATACGTATTAATGTCAGGCTATGTGAGTGAGAGGGCGCGGCCTCCTTTCCTGCTGAGGCTTAGATGTACTCCTGTTCTCAACCTGCAGCGCCGCTCTGTGAGCTATCTAAGCCGTCCCCCAGCCTGAAGCTCCGCCAGCGCTGTTCTGCCCCGCGGTCTCAGGGAGATCTCCCGATTCGCAGAGCTCTTTTGAGCAAGCCTTCCCCGGGTCTCTGAACCCTGTAGGGTCCACATAACCTCAAACCACCACCGGTTTTTGACCAGACGTCGCAGTGTGAGTGCTCGCTGTGTCCCCTCGATGACACTGTGGTCTGGTCAGTGTACGATGCCTTCCCTGCGTTCGCGGTCCTTGGAGGAGCTACTGCACGTCCTGGGTGTAGCTGGTGCTCCGTGGGCGTCTGCTTTGCTAATACTGCCCTGGAAAAAGTCTTACTCTGAACCGAAACGTGTCAGTATTTTTAAAAGTTAACCTTGTCTTTATTCATCATAATAAGAATAAAATATTGCTCACTAAGACCCATAGCATTTTGTAAATTCTAGGCAACACAATACTGAAATTTTTTAAAAAGTGTGCATATGGGAAAGGGCGACCACATTCTGCCCTCAGCTGTGAGGGCCCCCCCGCCCTGGGTCGGATGTGCCCGATGGGGCGGAGCCCAGCAAGACATGCCCTCGTTCTGGAGGCTGGCATAACCGGGGAACCGGTGCCCTGGGGGGCATGCTTCCGCGGGGAGTCACTGCGCCACACATGCTCTTCCACCTGCAACCTCGGGTCCCCGCTCTCTCTTTTCTGTCTGTAAAACCTGCAGAAAATGCAATGCGTTTTTCTTTTTATCATTTGTGCAAACCACGTGATCAGTGCGCTGTGTCGTGGTGGCACTCTTCTAAGCCCGTGGTTAATCAAGTGTTTAAGACGAACTTTCCGCCTGGATCTGAGAGGCGAGCACAGGAGAGCATCCCCTGCAGTTGCTCTTTCGCTGAGTAGGGTTGCAGTTTAAAGCCCCCCAGCACACGCAGCGCCCTGCTCATGAGCGATTAATAATCACGCGTTGTCAGAGGCTCAGGGCGCCAAACCAGAAATTACGGCAACTTTATCCCTAGCCACGTTTTCCCCTGTGATGAGCCACCTACCTGCACACAGGAGAACCTGCTCGCACATGTAGTTCTACATTTAAAATCGGTTATCCTTGCCAAGTGTAGGCATGTTTGTGATGCTTTTCATTAAGACAACTTTTTATATAGGAAGTAAATCAAATAGAAATGTACAAAAATACAATTTGTGTGCTGTATACTGTGAATATATTTACTTACATATATTACAAGACTGAAATTACAATATAGGGTAAGAACATTATTGTATCACCCCATTCCTGTTAGCAGTTTGGGGCCTTTTATGAAGACTTCTAAGTTATTTTTCATAAGAAAGCTAAAAACTCTCTAAAGGTTCTGTTTTGATATTCTCTCACTGAATAATACTAAAATTATTTCTCAGTGTCTTTGCTTATCCTCGTAAAGAGTGGCCATTGCCTAAACCAAAGAGAAGACAAAAATAACATTTTCCCCTGAAACCGCAGGTCTGTTTCTGAGGTGACGAGAATGGTCACAGCCTCTGGACAAGAGACGAAGACAGATTCCTCTGAAGAGCGAATGGAAGGGCTGTTCTGCTGTACGTGTTTTTGGCTTTTCTGTGCAGCAGCTTCACTCTCTGACAATAAATGCTGGTCAGAGCAGTGTTACTGTTCTTCCTACAAACGTGTCCCCTCCGGGCCACGAGGACGGAATGGAAACGATGCAGCGTTGATCCGGATCAGGGCTTCCCACATGGCAGCCGGGTCTCATCAGGGCAGGGGGTCGTCCAGCGCGGGCTGTGCAGGTCTGGGACGAGGTCTGGGACGAGGTCTGGGACGAGGTCTGGGACGAGGTCTGGCACAGACGCGTCTCAGAAGCCTCCAGGCCATGGGGCCAGGTCACCATGAGGACCACTGGTGAGTCCCGTGCAATCCTCCAGCGCGAACTGGCCTTCGGAGCACTTCCATGCTGCACTGGGAGACTGTCCCCATCCCCTCTCCCCTACAGGACTAGCACCGAGGGCAGGCACGTTGTCCTAACATCCCGCAGAGTCTGCGTCTGACTCACAGGTGTTAAACAGCGCTGATGGGAGATTTCAAAAGTCACCAAAAGAATTTTGGAAGAGAAGAATCTAGCAGACAGTGATCCTTGGAAACACCACCTTAACAATTTCAAAGACTGTGTTGATAACCGAAGCAGACTCACTCTTGTTTGGGAACTTGAAACATGTTCTAATGAGAAGCAGTTGCTTAGAGGATTTTTAAAAATAGAAGCAAGACAGAGGTTATGTCAGGCACAACGCCTACTGCGAACTGCGCAGGAGGAAGGCGGCGACGCTGCGAGATTTGATCCATGAGACGGCCAGTTTCCTCGGCTGAAGGCTCTAAATGTCTTTTCTCTTTTTCTTCTGGGCCAAAATTATCATGCTATGAAAACCAAGCATGCACCTTCTTTAAGTAACTATAAAGCAGTTCACACCTCAGAAACATTAATTTTAACAGAAACAAGATATTGATGGAAAACAGCTGGAGTAGAAAATGCACCCTGGACTTGGCAGATGACTGAGCTGATAGCGGTGGGGTTTGGAGAGGAAGGGAAGTGAGGGAAGGTTCTTGCCCAGATATGATTAAACGGCACAGAGCATGGCATTTAGAAAAATAGTGAGTCATCTTCCTGGGACTTTTCAGATCCACACGTATAAAGGAATAGAATAAAAACTCATCCTTCCGTGAGCTGGTCTCAGCGACCTCTGACCTTGCGGGGGACAAGGGCCGTTTGCGGTGGCGGAGGAGACGCTGCTCGCATGGGCAGGTTCCCACCGGGACTGCAGAGCCTCACGTGGTGGGCAGGATGCGGAAGGGACAGGAGGGCAGCTCTTTCATTTCACGTGATGCAGTCATTGAACCTCCCGTTTTTCTTTTCATTTTTATTGACATATAATTGACAAATAAAAATTACCCACATGGAAACCTCCTTATACATTAACCTGACTGCCAGCAGCCTCAAAGAGCCTTCATCCAGGGGCAGGTGCTGGCTCTGTCTTGTACGACCCTCACACAGTCACGCAGTCGCGCACGTGCCACGGAGACCACACTGGCAAGTCTCCTGCTTCCCTTCTCCTCACCCCTCCTTCCCCTGTTTCTGCTCATGATTCTTGTCCTGACATTGACCGTTGAAGAATGTTGTAACATATAGTCCTGTTTTTATTCTCACGCCCTTGCTTCATACTGCATGAGAATGAAGTTTCCAAAGATAATGTTCTCTCTCTCTTAAAAATCTGCTTCTACTCTTGTACGTTCAGTTTAATCACGAGACCTCCCGAGCAGGTGCACGGGGTCCCCACCTCTCGTGTTCACCTGCTTTCTCACGTGCTCCTTCCGGCCATCTGGGCTGGCTTTCTAATACAGAGAGAGATGAGCAAACACAAGCAATGATGCCACGTGCTAAGAGTTGTATGGAACTGAAGATAATCATTTACTCTACACTTTTCAAATGCAATCTCTCCCTGACCTTCCTTTGATTTAAATAGTATTTAGACGCAGTGACACTCAGCATACCTCAGATTCACTGTTGTTATTGCTTTATTTACCACAGGTATTGTCATTGACTGGTTTTCTGTCTTGAGAGTCAGGAAGTCAGTTATCATTAAACAAGTAAGAACAATGGATGGGTTTAATGAAGAGGTGGCCCTGCGTTGACAGAGTGTGGATTTCTACCCGCTGCTGTGAAAACCACAGGGTGCGGCAGGCCGGGAGTAGCACCCTGGGCAGCTGCAGGAAGGTGACTCTGTTAGGGGCTCCCCGGGTCTGGAGGTACAAAGTGATTTCTTTTCACCGTCTGCCTTGGGAAAGTAAATTCCACAGCACACTGCAGACTCCAGCTTATTATCTCCAAATACCATTTGAAAATAAGTGATCAGCACTGTGGAGTCATTAAATATACACAATTGGAAGA